TAAATATGATATCTCTTGGCCTCATTATGCATGCTGCCAAATTAACTCAGAAGAGAAAGCAATGTTGTTCCTTTGTCTTTTAAGAACAGTATTTAATTCCTATATAAGAATGAACACCTATTTGTCATACAGATGAAAAGTCCTTGACAGTAGAAGCATTTTGTACAACTGGGTTCTGAGTCAGAGTATTTGTGCTGTATTCAATCTCAAGGGCATAGAAATCTAAGCAATTTTCTTGTATTATTAATGGAAGTCACTGTATTATTAATAATATGCCTGGAACTAAAATGTAAATTATTAGGAACATTTACATCTATGTCTACAATACCTGGACATAACACTGATGTGTTCCTGATATTGTTTTACTGAAATACTATGGAAAATGTCTTTAGGTGTAATAACCAGCCTATAAGGACTTAAAGATGATAATACAGAGGTACCTTATTAAGTAAATGTTTACCACTCACCAAATTAGACTAGGTACTATCTACACAGGGATGATATTCCTCAATTTGGGGATTATCCAGGCTTTTTCTTCTTTTTTTTCTGAGCTGCTCACCTTTTGGATACATCCTGTGTTCACAGAATCTTTACCACAGTATACATAAGAAGTACAAATAAGAGGTGCTAAAACTCAAGCACGTCAGTTTTAATTTTTATCATGAGCTTCAGTTGTAAGGTTTGATGGAGAAAGGAAGTGACAGCTCCTGGCCAGTGTTGTTTTGGAGTTATCTACAGATTTCAATTATTCATGCTATTCCTACTTTGTATTACCACAGAGAGTCAAAGAACTGTTTTTGGTAACAGGATTATGCTGATGTCCAACTGTGTGATTTTCTTTTCCTGAAAGCTACTCTAAAATGGTGGTTCTCAAACTTTTCCACAGTAGTAGGACCCTTCAATTTAAACCAAACTTTGGCAGAACCTTTACAAAATCCTCTAAACTTATCATTGTTAAAGTTGATTAGCATAACATAAAGTTCATTAAAATAAACAAACAACTTTGGGTGTTTCAGGGTTCCTTGAAGAACAGTTTGAGAATTAATGTTCTAAAATCATACATTTTTAATGGCCTGGATCAGAATGGTTTTACCCAGAGAATAAAAGGTGAGGAAAGGATAATAATTCTGATTACATTACAATTAAAATATAAGCATATAATTGAATGATTTGAGCTCATTGGTAGAAGACTAATGCTTAGAAATTATATTCCTGTGTGCTCTTGTCCATTTCCATGTCCAAATAAAAACAATCACAACAACCTCTAACAATTTATATAAAATATGACTAACTAAAAATAACTGGGACAGTTAACTTTCTTGCACTATTCCTTCAAGTCCTTTATGCTTGAATTTCTTAATTTGACGTTAAGGATTAAATGGATTTGGTGGGGGTGAGGACCTATGGAATCAAATTAGAAGGTGATTTGTTAATTATGGCCAAACTCTAAATTCAGTAACACAGTCACTTAGAAATCAATTCCATTTATATCAATGACAACTGAAAACACCAAGCATATAATAAAGATTTGCTTAAACAAAACATTGCAATTTCACACGCAATCTAAGAAATGACTGTCACATTGTTAGGAATGTATGAAGAAAATCTTGGCAGAATTGTGATTTTAAAGCCACAAAATTATGGTTTTTAAAACTGCACACGCAGCAATTTGTCCACTTAAGTAGCATTTAAATAAGTAAGACCATTTTCATGCACTAGTCCATATATTTCCATCTCTCTCTTATACAGATATTGTTTCCTCTGCTGGGAATATCACTTAATACACCCACCCACTGAACCAGCCTCTGTTGAAATGCTTACTTATCCTCCAAAGTCGAATTAAAGGGCCACCTCCTTCATGAAGTCTTATTCGATCTTTGTCCTCTTTGCTACTCTTCCACCACATTGTAACTCTTATGGTACATATCTTTTTCTACATATATTGTAATTTTTCTATGTAACCTTCATTACCAGAATTATATTTTTAAATGTTAAATTATTTAAAAAACAACTCTAAATAACATCAAAATCAGGGTCACTTAGCATCTTACTGATCTTGTGACTAAGAAGCAATTGTTAGTTCTACACATGGGAAGATACTTTTAATTTTTAAAGATCTTATGAACTCCTGTGTTATATATTAACTCATATTCAAAATAACAGAAACATAATTTCCCCCCACAGTAATCTATATTGTTTACTTTTATTGCCCAATTGTGAAATTATTCTTGAGAATAAAATGGTTTATATATGGTGTTCTTTCAAATATGTTATTTCTGCTTAATGTTTTTTTTTTATTTTCAGATGATTTTCTAAGACACAAGAAACGAAAATGAAAGTACCACTCCATGTTATGACCTACCTTCAGCATATGCTAACACTTATCATTATGGAGGACGGCCTACGCTATAAACAGAGACAACTAAAGCACTTGTAGAACAGCATAAGATACATAAAGATTTAAAGAGTAAATACTATATGGGAGGGTCTAATCAGTTATATAGTCCTATGCTGCTTATAAATTTAGATTTAATATGAAGTTTTTGTGACGAGAGCCTATCATGTTAGCTAAAAGTTGGTAAAGGACATAGCAATGGAATATACACAGTATCCATTCAATTGTTTTCATTCTGGTTTTTGCCCTACTTCAGATGACCAGATTAGAGGTTCCTTCTATCATCAGTGTTCTCTTAGGGAAAACAGCGCAGTACAGTGGGAAGTGCTGAACTTGATTCAGGAGACACAGGTTTTAGTTCCAGCTCCATCATTTACTAGCTGTGTGACCTTGGTCAAGTCCCTTAACTCCAGGAAGACTATGTTTCTTCATTTGTAATATACTATCTATTTACAGATGATTATTGTCAGGAAAGGATTTTGCCAACCTATATATAAGTGTGACTTATGCAAATGCAATATATAAATAAGTTTTTCTCATTTTCTGAACTTCATCACTTAATGTTCATGATACTCATTTAACATTCAACATATGTTGCTGTTATTAGTTATTTTCAGTTATTATTTATTTGGTTATTATTTATTTATTATATATATTTAGTTATTATTTGTTATTTTAACTCTAGCTCCCTAAACAGTTTATAAACTATTTTGAGGTGAAGACCATGGTCTAACCTCAATGACTTTGTCAAATGATCCTCAAAATTATAGACTGCCAGATTTATGTACTGGTGTAAGCCATTAAACATTTTGGCTTGAGTTTAATTTTACCCATACTCGATAAAATCAAGGAAAAACATTAAAAATGTCTATGCTGAATATACTAATCCTAGAGACACATATCCTCTCAACAACCAAACAGATGCTCAATATTTAAAGGCTTAAATGAGCACAAGACTTTACATGGTCATTTGTGTGTATGTCTATGTGTGTGTATACTATCTAAATCCCGTTTCTACCTAGTTGTTTGCATGTTGCCTCTCCCATTAGACTGCGAGCTCTTTGAGAGCAGAGACTGGGTTTTTTTGCCTTTCTTTGTGCTTAGCTCAGTGGCTGCTACATAGTAGGCATTTAAATGGCATGGAGAAAATCTATGGACTTTCAGTTCCACGACAGCAGTCTTGGCTAAACTCTCTATTTCTCCCAGCAGGTAATACAGTGCTCTCTAAAAATAGTTGTTTAATAAATATTTGTTGAATGACTAAATGAAACCAAACAATCTGTGCAATGAAAAATCAGGGATGGTGGAGGCATCCTAAGAAGTCCCTCCATGAAGATCTGTTACTTGCTTAATTGTGTTTAGTATAAGTGTAACATGCTATTACTAAACAACTCAAAGCTTAATTTAAAAATCCTTTTACAACAACTTTCCTATTCTCACTTAAGTTTTAGTTTATTTACAAAATAGCCAATTTGGAAAACACAACTAAAAATTTCTTTAAAAATTCACTAGCTACAATATAGTCTCATACTCTGTGTACGAGGAACAAAACTGCACCATCATAACATTAAAGGAAAACTCACATTCTTATATTCTAATATACCTATATATCACCCATTATGTAGAAAATATGGAAAAATATTTTGAGACAGTACAAAACTATAATAGAAAAGCTGCCATTTCTCTTTTTAAATATTTCTCTTTTAACTTTTTTGCTGCCATAAGCTAGACAGAACAGTGAACTAGAGGGACTAGGATGGGTGGGCAGCCAGAAAAAAAAAAGGTTTCTGGAACAGTGTTACAGAGATAAGGCATAAAAATTAATGATAATAAATGTACTCATGTGGTTGGACACATTTTAGGATGGCAAGAAAACAAAATATGTCCAACTAAAATTTAATGCCAATTTTGGGAGATTTTAAAGTTAACTTCAATCTTGTTTAGCTTGGTGCCATTTCTACCTGAAAACCTCTAGGTGGACAGGCTGTTCTTTCATAAATGGATCTAAAGACAGCTTTAAAAGCAAAATCAAGAAAAACTAATGCTGATAGTTTCCCTTTTTAAATTATGAAATTTGCTTCTACTGGATGTGTTTATGGCAATAAATATAACTATATACACAGTTATTATAGGTATAGTTAATGTATTCAACGTAAGTCTTATTTCAATGCAAATAGAAATAGGTTTTCCAATACAAAATAAGACTAAATGTGATGCAATTAAAATACAAGTTTTGGCCTTGGCAATGATTACTGCTTGACATTTTATATGTAGAATTCACTGGTGAAAAAATGAGGTGGAGATCAGAACACTGACAGAAGAGAATTTTTCATTTTACTAGGAATGTATTTAGTAAGTAGTTTTACTACTTTCTTCACTTTCAATAATGTTTTTTTCTAGCTCCTGAGGAATAGATATCAGAGTATGGACACAGTCAACAGATACCCTATCTTTTTTATTTCTTAAAATCAAAATTTTAACTTAAAACATGTTAAATGTCATAATGCTCTAATTTCTAATCAGACTAGACTAATAAAACACAAAGTGTAAAAAACTATTGCATTGCACATAATTTGTTTCACTATTTTATTAAAGATTTCTTTACCTGCAGATGGCTGGGAAACACTCTTGAAGTCCCTTCTTTTTAACTAAAGATCCTTCAAGACAGTACATTATAATGTCCATAACCTTTGAGAAGAAAAACCACAGATCTGACATTATTTTCAAATAATTAATTTCCTTTTTTTTTTAACTTAACACTTTTAATTCCTAATTTGGTGCTTTTTAGTTTCAACCTCTATGATTTTAAAGTCTTTGAAATATTTTGGTTTTATGTTACATTTATCAATTACCCTAACAGTGAGAGGTAACAAAGTAACAAAGTAAAACAAGTAAAAGTAACAATATCATTGATTTCATTGAAAGTATGTATAACATTCCACATTGGTAGCACTCAAAACAAATTTCCTCATTGGCTATACACAAAAATATCAATGTCTCATTCTATAAACTTAAACCCATCACCTCTTTGTCATTGAAAGCATCAATGCTGTCTAATCATGGATGATCACTGTACTGATCATAATTATTACAACTTTCAAAGCTATTTGCCTTTACCATACCGTTACTGTGCAAATTGTTCTCTCGGTACTGCTTATTTCATTCTTCATCAGTTTATAATTCAAAATGATTCATTTTTATAATATTGGTATTATAGTATAAATTGATCTCTGAATCAGTTCTTTTAAGTCTTTCCAAGTCTCTTTGAAATCATCTATTTCCTCATTTCTTATAGGACAATTCCATCACATTCATACACTACAACAACTACTCGACTGCTATTCAATTTATGGACATCCCCTTAGTTTTCAGTTTTTATTTTGTTTTGGCCACCACCAAAAAAAGCTGCTGTAAATATTTTTTGTACATATAGAACTTTTCCCTCTTTCTTTGGTCTCTTTTGGGTAAAGAATCTATTTCAAAGGGCACGTACTTGTTAGTAACTTGATGAATATAATTCCAAATTACTTTCCAGAATGGTTGTATCCATTAACAGGCACACAATAGTTCAATAGCTCATCAATATACCTGTCTTCCCATGGAAAAACGATAGTAACATTTTTAATTTTCCTTTTTTATCACCTGTGCCAATCTTATGAGTGTGAGGCCCAATCTCAGTATTACTTTATTTTACATTTCTCTAATTAGTAGTGATTTGGAGCATTTTTTCATGCGGTTATAGATGGCCTGGGCTTCTTCCCTTGAGAATTATCTGTTCATACTAGACCATTTATCAATTGGAGAATGGCTCTTACCCTTATAAATGTGAATCAATTTCTTATATATCATATCATGCCATATCTACATATAAATTCAGAGAAACTTGCAGTAAAGATTTTTTCCCAATTGTTTCCCTATTTTACAAAAATTGTTTGAAAAGCTGAACAGTAGTATGGAAGAAATTAGACTTAGACCAACACTTTACAGCTTATACAAACATAAGCTCTAAGTGGCTATATAAAAGAAGCATCATTAATTAGGGAAACAGAGAAAACATTAACTACTAGATTTATAGGTACAAGAAAAGTTCATGACCAAACAAGGGATGAAGAGAATCACAGAAGATAAAATGGATTATTTTGATTATGTAAAATTTAAAAGTTTTTGCAGAAGCAAATCTAATAAAGCTAAAATTAAAGAGGAACCCATGTTTACTTTTGAGGTTAGTTATTTACAGATTTGTAGAAACAGCAGAGAGAGCTGTAATTTATGAAGAGGTACTGTGTTATGTTTTATTTACAAAGATGGATATACAAGAGAAAATTGCATTGAAAAATTATTTTGGTCAAGCTCTAGCCCATAAACTATAAATGGAAATTGTCAGTTACTTTGTTTAAACTAGAAATTTAAACAAGAAAAAAATCTGGAAATGATAGGTAATACAAACAATGACTACAACCACTTCCAGAAGTTGATATGAACTCTAAATGTTACATATGTGCACAAACTCTTTTAGAGATACTAGAAGGAAAATGCAGTTAGCTGCATTATATTACTGCACTGGAATATTTGTTATATTTTTTATTTATTGAGGAAATCATGATAATACCTCAACAAGAAGATCAACAACATCTGTGGGCATTTTTTCAATAAGGATTTCAATGACTCTCAGGATCTCCCCTTTAGCTCGAGCAAGAGTTGTAGTGTGGATATTTTGCTGTGATTGGGTGTTCGCTGCTAGAGCAGTATGTCTATGTACCTACAAAAAGGATGAGATAATATTATATTGGTCACTGTATTAATATTTTATTCACTCTTATATTTATATATAAGCTTTTGCTTATATATTATTAAACCTTTCGAAAAAAAAATCAGCAAAACCATAAATACATCTAGTATATACAGCACCTTAAGATTTGCAGAACGCTTTACAAATATTATTTCACTTTATTCTCATAACAACCCTAGGAGGTAGATGTTATTATCATTCCTGTTTTGAGATGAGGAAACTGAGGTAGGTGGAGGGTAAGTGATTTGCCCAGAGTCGCAAAGCTAGTAAGGGTACAAGGAACACTTGCTGCATTTGGACTTAGGTCTTCCTGACTCAACATTTTCTGTGCCACCTTGCTGCCTCTTTGGGTTAGGTAAGGAAGTATTTTTAAATTGCTAATAAAAATTGCTAACTTCCAAACTGTACAAGGGATTATATGATTTACTAAGCAATATTAACAAAAGACAATTTTTAATGCCTATCATTTATAGGGCTTACCATACAAAAAACATCCAAAAAAATTACAGATTATTTGGCAATGTTGAGTACCTTCATTTTAGTGTCTGTACATTTTAGAAGAGAATGGGTCAGTAAAAAAATCTTTCTATGAACTAGTGAAATTATCAAATGTTATACACGTATAATACAGTAATGTACATTATACATGCGATATACATGTAGAGCTATGTTAGCACATACTTCTATTTACTATAGAAGAAGACTGAAATAAGGCAGATCTATCTTGGATTTAAGCCAGAGGTGCGGGCTTTTTGTTTTTTGTTTGTTTGTTTGGTTTTTTGGCAATTGGGGTTAAGTGACTTGCCCAGGGTCACACAGCTAGTAAGTGTCAAGTATTTGGTTTGAGGCCAGATTTGAACTCAGGTCCTCCTGATTTCAGGGTCAGTGCTCTATCCACTGCGCCACCTAGCTGCTCCCTTGAGGAGTTTAAGGACATGCCAAATTTAATATGAACTATAAGAAGGTATCAATATATTACATGTATTTATTAAAGTTAAATGTAAAATAGATAATGGTGTTATCAATCAGAAGACAATATATAAGTGAAAGTAACAGCTCACTTTTGTACTGTACTTTAAGATGTATAAAGTGTTTTATCAACAACCATGCTCACAGGGTACAGGGTATTATTAGCACAATAGTACAAGTCCTATGACTGCCATTTTACGAATGAGGAAAGTGAAGCTCATAAAGGTTAACTGGCTTATTCATAGTTACATCGTTGCAAAGCCAGGATTTAAATTCTATTCTTCTGATTTCAAATCCAGTGATTTTTCCCCTCTATATTACAATGCCCTTTTTTTTTTAAGTTGAATCTACCTCCTTGATGGCTCTTCCGATACAGCTTGTAGCATGGAAACCAAGGGAGGTAGGACAGAAAGATAAATCAGAGCGAAAGAAATGCCACTACCTTCTCCAGGGTTCAGGAAGACTATCAAGTTCAGCATCTTCTGTGTTTTATGGAAATTGCATAAACCCATGCCTTTTATCTGTGCTATTTCTTCAAAAATCAGGAAAGAAACTGTAGGTGAACTTCGGTCAGAATGGACCACAGTTTAGGGGCAGCTAGGTGGTGCAGTGGATAGAGCACCAGCCTTGGAGTCAGGAGGACCTGAGTTCAAATTTGGCCTCAGACACATAACACTTACTACTTATTAGCTGTGTGACCCTGGGCGAGTCACTTAATCCCAATTGCCTCAGGAAAAAAAAAAAAAAAAAGAATGGACCACAGTTTACTTTGGTGAGGGGAGGAGTGCTTGGAAAATAAATAGAGACAGTGCTGGAAAGTTCAGTGAAACTGCAAAAGGAAACCTGGGTTTAGGGTGTGGCTTGAACAAGGGTTTGTAAGCCACAAAGTCTCTGACCCTCAGTTTCCTTTTCTGTAAAATAGGTATAATATGAGCAGGGATGATCTTTTGCATTACTTTGTACTCCCAGTCTGGCACACAGTAGGTACTTAAATGCTTGTTGATTTGATTTTATACAATACTTAACTCACAGTGTGGTTATAAGCACTTTGTGAACCCAAAGGCCTTAGTTATTAGTAATTAATTAAATAGTAATTAAGCACTTTATTAATAAAGAAGTCTAATTATTAAAATGTAGAAATAACATTATAAATGGTAAAAACTAAATTGTTGGGGGAAATATTTACCAGTTGGTTATATTTACATGTAAACAAGTTCATATCAACATTTTGTTAGCCTAGATGAAAATGACTGAACCTGACTATTACCTAAAAGGGCCTCAGTTTCTTCATCTGTAAAATGACAGGATTGGACTAGTTAATCTTTAGAGTACCCTTGAAGCTCTAATAGGGCAGGTAGGGTGGCACAGGAGATACAGTACTGGGCCCGGAGTCAAGAAGATTCATCTTCGTGAGGTCAAATCTGGCCTCAGATACTTACTAGCTAGATGCCCCTGAACAAGTCACAAAACCCTGTTTACCTCAGTTTCCTCACCTGTAAAAATGACCTGGAGAAGAAAATGGCAAACCACTCCAGTATCTTTGTCAAGAAAACCCCAAAGGGGGTCACAAAGAGCTGGCTGGACATGACTGAAAAGACTGAACAACAATGAAGCTCTCATATTCTGTGATATTCATGGAAATACATTTCCATCGCTGGCTTTGAATTATATAAGCAAAAAGGTTTTATGGGGTGGTGATCAGTGAGCCATCCTCAAAAGCCAAGAAGACCTGGGTTCAAGTCCACTTCTGATACATGTTAATATATGACTCTGAAGAAGTCATTCTGTTGAGTACTGAGTTGCTTCTCTAAGCTACAGAGAGGTACTGATCTAAATTGGTAGAGGGAGTTTCCTTATCTGAGAATTCCCCCATACCAATGAAATCACAAGTCTAATCCCAGGCCTAGATCGTTTCCCTCGCCAGATGTGAAACTCCTCAGCCTCTTTAGTATTCTCAGCTTAGCACAGTTTTGGTACACAGAAGTTGCTTAATAAATGTTTGATGATTGATTATTGACTGACCTTAAACCAGTGAGCTACTCAGTGAGTGTTTAGTTTCATTCAAAAGATATTTACGGAGTTTCCATATAGAGATGGCTCTGGGGGTAGACCTGAGTTCAATATGTATGAATTCACAAATTGGTACTTCTGAGGGTACTCACTTAGGACTTACTTATAAATCTTTCTCTACTACCAGAAAAAAAATGACTCAAAGTACACAACTGACTTAGTAACAACATCTTAGCAGATGAAGGACAGCATACTACTTATGAAATGGAATAAAACTATTTTTAGTATTCTGAATCTTGCCTTCTCTTTCCTTCCACGAACATGGCAAAGAACCTAGCAGATCTTTACTGGAAAGATAATTTATTGTTCTTTCTTTGAATTTCAAACAGGTAGTAACATTAGCCCATTACACTATAGCCAAGGTTGAGATCAGCTGATAGTCAGCTCTTTAGTTCTGACCTACAGTAAAGAAAAACAATTAGTAACTTCAATAATATTTCTGCTTACACATCTATTTCCATAGCAAATTAGTTGATTATAAATAGGCAATTCCATCTTGATTAGAAGCAAATACTTGGTAAACAGTTGTTTGTATTTCAATTTAACAATTACTAAGCACATAACTATATAGCACAAGTTATTGTATTAGGTTCTCAAGGGATACAAAGATGAACAATGCATAATCCTTTTTCATAAGGAAATTATAATCTAGATTATTTGAATTTAAAAAGTCTTGAGTTTCAGGCTAGGAAACCAGAATCAATAAGAAATGTTTTTGTTTTTTTTTTTAATCACTATCTTTGAGAACAGGAATGTACACAAAGTGAAATAAATTAATCAGCTAATTTTTTCTGCCGTACACATTAACTACTACTTAGCCTTTAGTGTAAATGAGCTTATTCATCCACCTATATTAATTTCTCTACTTTCACACTGAACAGTTACTATTCTATAATGTTTAAATTTCACTATTTAAGGACTGAATGTTACCATCAAAGTATTCTTTTGGAGAGAGAGACTCAGGGATTGCTCAAAAGCTCCTCTTACCTCCTTGGCAATAGTTGTGATAAAGGCGGGTGGTCTGGCTGTGGCAATGAGTGAGAGGGCATGTCTCGCAGAGCGGGCGGAGTCAGCTGCTGGACTCAGGGGCAGCCCCATTGTGATGCTAAATAAGGATCAGACAAAAGAGAAAAAAAGAAAAGCATTAGAAATATAGACTGAAAAGATTAGACACAGCTTATAATGTCAGTTCAAGGTCAATGGGAGCACTCAAACAGTTAGAATATAATGGACTGCCAACAATGAGCAGTGATTAGGAGTCAGGGTGTTCTAGCATCAAATACAAAATCGAATAATTAACCGTGAAGATTGAAAACAGTGTGTGCATCTGTCCAAACTGTTAAAAAAGCCTTGTTAACAAATTATCAAGCCCTAGTACTGAATTAATATCACAAAGCCTAGAATAAGTCAAGAAAGAATGTCCTGAAAAGTTTTTTCTTTTACATTTTCCTTCATAAAGTCAAAGGGAATATGCATTCAAAAGTCAGGATTTGAGACATTAAAACCAAAGTTCTCTAAATAGTATTAATACCCAAATAAATATCACCAAAGAAATGAAAAGGACAAAACTATTTCTGTCATTTGTGATGTTATGAGATGTTCTAAGTAAGACTGGCTTACCTAGACACAATGCTGAGGCAATCTGCATTGTTGTTCTTGCGCAAAATACATGAAGTATTTGTAGCAATATATATGGCATATTAATTGATACTGACATTCTACAGAACAAAAAAGATCAGGCATAAGATATTTTAGGTTGTGGATAAGGAAGGATGCACATTAAAATCAACATCTTCCAATAATGAAAAAATAAATATCACTACAAGTTAGTGAAATGAAGTGCTGAGTTTCACTGCACCTCAATCTCTCCAAATCAGTCCTACTAAAGTCAAAGTTAAACATTTTCTTCTCTCTATAACCCTTACTGATCACAGTGGTAAAGGTATAAATCCAAACACGATAACTTCTGATTAAAGTGTTAGACATAAGTACTCACTAATCATATAAGGAATTTTCTTACATAATGAGACAGGATTTGTTTTCTAGCCTGTAATGTAAATTCATGTTTAAAAAACCATTAGAGATGAATGAAAGATTAAAGAATGTTGCTAAGATGAGGCTTCATTTCTCAAGCAAATAATGCTCACTTTAAATTCGCAGATTATCAAAATCTGTTCTCCCAAATTTATCTAAGGTTCAACATTTTAAACTTCGGTTGGTACCAGAAGCATATCCACTTATAAAGGTGTTCTTAAAAAAACAAAAAGCTTTCATACTATAATTTTATAACCTTTATTAAAAATGTACTTTTAAAATATGTATAAAACCACATATATTATTACACATATAATTTGCTTAACCCAATTAGCCTTCCAGATAAAGATATTTACATATAACACTTATCATTTTACCCTTCCAATATTTAATGTTCAATATCATTTAAACTGAAAGAGAGAGGAGTAAGAGAAAAATTATGGAGACAGAAAAGTGTGATTGAGAAATGAAATAGTGAAAAAAGATCTTTTCTATACAAAAGTATGCTTTTGATTGACTGAGAAACATTGACACATCTCAAAAAAGTTTCAAAGAAAAACAGTGTTAGGTGACTCTCTGATCAGCTTCAGCTTGCTCAAACTTAAAAGACTTTTATAACCTAACTTAAAATTAGTTCATGTCTTTGGACAGCTTTCCTGGGCTTCACCAATTTTAACTCCAATCCAATTCAACAAGTATTGAGTGACTGTGGGTTGAGTGTTTTATTTGAATTAGCTTAAGTTACAGAGTAGGACAGATTCATGTGAAGATGTACATTTTAAAAAATCACATTCCAAAATTATTGAAATGTTTCTGAAATTAGCCATGCTAGTATTCTGTCCATGAATGTCAATAAACAGGTCTTGACAGTATTAATAAAGACAAAACACAAAAGAATAATTTAGTATATGGAATTCATAATGTGTCCAAATATGTTTTAAACCATAAATTTTTTTTTCCTATATCAGGCTTCATTTGATGTGTTATATGTAATCCAAGATGCTGAAAATATTTTGTATATTGTTAGTATTCAATGAATACTTGTTTTAAAATTTGTTTGATTCAGAATTAACTCATTAAGGATAATTAATATTAACAGCATAGAAACTGATAATTTTTAATAAACTAAAGAAACAAAATAGTTTGTTACAATAAAGAGCTTTTAAAACAGAGCAACTAAGCAATGCCTGTTTGACAGATTTGAGATCTCAATTTGGGTAGCCCTGCACTGTTGCAGATCATAACCTATTCATGTCTTCTATGATGAACTAAAGTCTGAGATGATCTACAAATTCCCCATAAAGGATCTACCCAATACATCTGAGGCATTTTTCTGGGTCTTCCCATATGTGGTGGACACCAAGACAGTTCTTGGGCTGCTCACGTGGTACCCCCTTGATACATGACTTTTATACCTTTGTTTTATGGCCTGTTTTGTGACTAATGCAAGTTATGCTACTTCTTTACATTATACCCATCATATATCTTTCGATTACCCTTTCAATCATCTGTAATTCTGATTCTTCTGAAATTGCAGAGTTTCCATAATTTAAAGTCAAGCAGCATTATTAGAAAAATATTAGAGTTTAAAAGTCTTTTGTAAGAGGGCACAGCTTCGGATGATTGAAAGCACTATAGAATTTGTAAATGTGATCTAGCTAACTATCATTTTCCAATTTAATGCTGGGTTCACCTTGTTGTCCATTTGTAGTGCCTAAGATTCACTATAATCCAACAAATATTTAAATGTACAAAGCATAGTTATCACCTGAATATACAAAGACAAAAGTAAGCCTTGTCCAAAAGGACCTTACATTCCACTTGAAGGAGGGGTTCTTAACTTGGGGTCCATAGACCCACCCCCTCTCCATCATACCACCACAGGTATGGATGGATTTCATCGTGTCTGTGCACTTCGATGGGGAAAAATTTCATATCTTTACTTTCCTGAATTTCCACCTGAAATGCAGCATCTCCTTCAATCATGAATGTAGGCAACAAAACAAAATAGTATCAGTAGTACCTGTAACTTTGTTACAAAGAGAAATCAGATATTTTCATATAATAAGACAGTAAAAAATAACTGGATGTCCAAACTGACATGTGTAGTGCCTTGTCAAAAATCACTCCACAGTTCAGGTTCTTATGCAAGTTAATTGAAAATAATCTTCAAACTGATTTTAAAAAAAAATTAACTTTAACTTGCCTACATTTTAAGTGAATTATTTTGTTACATGATACGTTAAAGCACATGCATTGCATTATAATTTTAATTTAAAATATTTTTATCATTACATTTCAATAGAATTAGTTCACTTTATATTTTATTTTATGCATTTAAAAACATTCTTCTGAGAATGGGGTCATCACTTTTACCAAACTGTCAATGGTGTCCATGATACAAGAAAAGTTTACCTGCGTTGGAGGAACATGGTATGTATACAAGTGAGCAAACATAAAGTATATACATAATATTACAAAGTACCTTCAAAGGGAAGAGTGCTAATAACTGGGAGCATCAAGAAAGTCCTCATGTAAGATGTATTTAACACTATGATTCTCTTTGAAGGAAGGATTCTGTGAGATATAAGTGAGCATTCCTTAATATACAAGGAAGACCACTTATATTAAATCAATGAGGTGGGATATGTTATATTACATATGGAGAACATCTAGCAAGACAGAGTGACTGGAATGGACACTGCACTGATTTGGAGTAATATGAAATAAAACTTGAAAGTGTGGAAACATAGTTAAGGTCTTTAAATGTCAAACTCAGAGTACACTTTAGTCAAGAGGGGAGTTGCAGAGGATTTTTTAGTGGGGATGGGGGTGGTCACATGGTTCAGATCTGTTTTAAGAATATTAATTGGGGGGGGGGGGCAGAGCCAAGGCGGCAGAGTGAAAGCAGTGACTTGCTTGAGCTCTCCCCCAAACCCCTCCAAATACCTGTAAAAAAAATGGCTCTAAACAAATTTTAAAGCAGCAGAACTCACAAAAAGACAGAGTGAAACAAATTTCCAGCCTAAGACAACCTGGATGGTTGATCAGAAAGGTATATCATGCCAGGCAGGAAGAGGAGCCCAGTTCAGCATGGGTGTGCAGGCCACAGCGAATCTGGAGCAGGCTTCAGAAGACTGAATCACAGGCAGCTGTGGCAGTTTCCAGACCTCTCACTCCATGAATGCCAAAGACAGCTTGGAAGGTCATGAGAGAGAGAAGCACAGTGGTCTCAGCCCCAGTCCCCAAGCACGGCCCTAGGGCAGTGGCTGCCTCCTGAGCTTCCAGCCCACAGACTGAGGGGGAATCGAGTGGTGGATCAAAGGGGGATTGCAGAGATCTCTCTGCTGGTGCAGTATTCTCTTGCTTTACCAGTGCTTGATCTGGGTCACAGTTCTGGGTGGCAGTCCTGGGATGAGGAGGAGCGCTGGTGTAGTGGAGCTTATAGTGGCAGTGGAGAGGAAATCCTCCTCACAGTTCCAAGACAGAAAAGAGAGCTTGTGGTCACTCATAGACCAGAGCACTGGCTAGGAAAGGAGTAAACACCTTGCCCTTGATCATAGAACCTTGGAAGAACTGAAAATTTACAGGTCCCTTGAAGTATCTCTGAAAACAGCTGTGCAAACCCCTGAAGCTTGGAACAGTACATCCTCCACATTGGAAGCAGACTTTCACCTTAACAAAGAGTTTATAACTCAAGTAATTGGATGGGATCATGAGCAGCACAAAAAGACTCAGACTATATTATCTTACTTTGGTGACAAAGAAGATCAAAACATATAACCAGAAGAAGACAACAAAGCCAAAGCTCCTACATCCAAAGCCTCCAAGAAAAATATGAATTGGTCCCAGGCCTTGGAAGAGCTCAAAAAGGTTTTTGAGAAGCAAGTAAGAGAAGTAGAGAAAAAACTGGGAAGAGAAATGAGAGTGATGCAAGAAAATCATGAAAAACAAGTCAACAGTTTGCTAAAGGAGACCCATAAAATACTGAAGAAAATAATACCTAAAAAAATAGTCTAACCCAAATGGCAAAAGAGGTCCAAAAAACCAATGAATGAGGAGAAGAATGCT